TGATTCAATGCATCTCTATGACGAGATGCTGATTGGCCAAAGTGGCATTTGCCTATGCCCCCTGCCCCACCTCCTAGGAAATCTTAGGCAATTAGCTCGGAACATCACGTCTGATAATGTTAGCAACAGAGGCAGATTAGGGGCAGACCCAGCACTAGCAGACTGGAACTTTACTATATTTAGGAGGGTGGGGTTAGATAGTGATTTAACACTATAGGGTCAGAAATACTTGCTTTTGTTCTTGACTCTATAGTGTTCCTTTAACTATTGCGCCGTGAAAACACACTGGAAAATAACTTATTTTAACCTGACATTGGTTTGAATAATATTTTGACAAAAAGTAACTATAACACTATAGGCACCAGACCACTTCAGCTCATTTAAGTGGTCTGGGTGCAGTGTCCCAGCACCCTTAACCCTGGTGATTAGGCGACTGGACGTCTTCTCGCTATGCATGAGGACTTTCATCGTCACCTGAATCCCCATAGAAAAGCAGTGCCAGTGCTTCTCTGGTACATATGACTCGTCCACAGCGCTACAATGGAGATGCTATGTCATGTTGCGGTTTCCTTAACCAAATACACATACATTTAGAGTTGAACCAACGTTCTTACCCTACAGACAGCACAAAAATAGCTTTTCTTATCAACAATCTCTCAGATAGAGCACTGGCGTGGGCAAATCCTCTTTGGGAGTCCAATACCCCTTTGGTATATAATTACTAGTAAATCCTTATACCTTTCCGCAGGACCTTGCCTGGCCATGTTAGCTCTGCACGAAAAGCCTTATTAAGAATAAAGTAGGGTTCTCAGAAGAGGATGGCCAGCTGTAGGGCGCAGCAGAGAGGCTGGAGGGGTGAGTACCTTGTGTCTGATACCTTGTGCCTTGTGACCGATAATCTGTCGATCCCTAGAAAGTGTGTGGAGTCTGTTCCAGAACTCCTGGCATATAGCATTGAATGACTCAATCCACTCCAGGCCATCATAGGCTGGTCGGCTGGGCTGAGGAACAGATGCAGTGGCCATCTTTGATGCGCCACACAGCGGTCGGGGCAGAGGATGAGCAAATTTTGACCTCAGATGCTGTATGCAGTAGGGTCCGGAAAATCTCCCTGTCTGGGTGGGGGGGGGAGTGGAACAGGGCTGCGAGAGATGGCTGCCAGGTGCTCGCTCAGCGTTGGGAGATCGGCAGCCTCTCCGTTTCACCGGCACAGCAGACCCAGTAGGCCTCAGGGTCGGATGGATTCACCACTTGGGTATATGTTCCGGTCCGGATAGAATAAGTTGCACCAGTTAATATCAGACCTCCGGTAGTTTAAGGTCACTTGAACCCAAAATAGTGAGTTGAGAGGCTTAATATTAGATCCATGTGTCCAGATCTACAGAAAGACACATCCGGCCATCTTGGCTCCCAGGTCCCGCCCCCCTTGTTTGTTTGTAAAGTCTGCTACAAACCTGAAGCTTGGGAGAAAATACACCTTTCAGAAGGTCAATGATTCAAAGCACAAGACAAAAGGAATTTTGGAATGGATCAAGAAATAAAACAAAAACATGTATTTATCGTACAGTGGCCCAATAAAAGCATCAAAGCTCTGATTCTCAATCCTGTTGAGAATCTGTGGCACTGGAGCACCTGCAGCAAATCTGTTATAAATGGCCAAAACTTATGCTCACAAAGCACACTTAATTCTAGGGATCGACAGATTATCGGTTTTACCGATATTATCGGCCGATATTCTGTATTTTCGGCAATATTGCTATCAGCCAATATAGATACCGATATTGCTGATAATACATACCAGCTTGCTGCCGGCCCCCCCACTGCTCAGTACATGCCACTGGACCACCAGGGAATGCCATGGCCCCCTCCCTGGCCAGGTAACAAGCAGGGAGGGGGGACAAAAAATAAAATAAATAATAAAACATAAAAAATGCCTCCCCTCCCGCCCATTTTACACAAATTACATCCCTTCACAAACACACACTACACAAGCACACACACACACACTGCATTCACTATGTACACACTCTACACAAACACACACACACTCTGCATGCACTATGTACACAGTCTACACAAACACACACACTCTGCATGCACTATGTACACAGTCTACACACTACATTCACTATATACACACACACTACACAAACACTGCATTCAGTATATACACACACTACACAAACACACACACTGCATTCATTATATACACACACACTACACAAACACACACACTGCATTCACTATATACACACACACACTACACACACTGCATTTACTATATACACACACACTGCATTCACTTTATACACACACACACACACTACACAAACACACAATGCATTCAGTATATACACACACACACACTACACAAACACACACACTCTGCATTCACTATGTACGCAGTCTACACAAACACACACTCTGCATTCACTATGTACACAGTCTACACAAACACACACTCTGCATGCACTATGTACACACTCTACACAAACACACACACACACACACTGCATGCACTATGTACACACACTACACAAACACACACACACTGCATTCACTATACACACACACTACACAAACACACACACTGCATTCACTATATACACACACTACACAAACACACACTGCATTCACTATATACACACACTACACAAACACACACTGCATTCAGTATATACACACACACACTACACAAACACACACTGCATCCACTATATACACACAATACACAAACTGCATTCACTATATTCATACACTACACAAACACACACACACTGCATTCACTATATACACACACACTACACACACACTGCATTCACTTTACACACACACACACACTACACACACACACTGCATTCACTTTACACACACTACATCCACTTTACGCACACTACACACACTACATTCACTATACACATTACACAAACACACACTGCATCCACTACACACACACACACAGCTCCCCTGTATACATGTGGCATGTATACTTTGTGCATTTACCTTTAGAAATAGTTTATTTTTGAAAATGGTAAATGTACAGAATATCGGCAAGTTATCGGCTATCGGCCTGAAAGTTCACAGATTATCTGTATCTGCTCTAAAAAAAACAATATCGGTCGATCCCTACTTAATTCTAATGGATCACCAATACTATAAAGAAAATACGACTAACACTCAGCATTACCTGTGTAATGTAACCATGTAAGTCACTGAGCTTGATAAAGACACGTACTGTGTCAAAACGTTGCATACCTTTTTGTATGGCTGAATAAACCTACCATTACATGGTTTCGGCAGAGTGCAGGAGTCTTATTTTCTTTTCAAAACTTATTCTCAACAGGTAGGTAAAGCTGGTAGATACTTGCGCACAAAAATGTAAGTTATAATACCAAAAGGATGCTCATCTAAATATAAGTGAGGGGTGTCAATACATTTACAAGCAACATTTTTCAGTTTTTCTTTTAAAATTTAAAAAATTTAAATCTACACAATTTTTCCTTAAAATGTACTCTAGGACCACATGACTTCAATAATTGTGCATTTGTGACTATGTTTATTTTGAAACCCCCCAAAACAAAATCATTTGACAGGTCTGAATATATTTGCAAGGCACTGTACTCCACACCATAACACTTCTAAGAACACAAAATGCTATGTTGAAACTCAAATGTTTTTTCCAGAAGCCTAATCCTCCAGTCAGGATGAAAAGTTAGATATCAGAATAAATCAGAGCAGATTTGTTTTTTTTTGTTTTTTTGTTTTTTTTATTTACCCGCCCACTGAAATCTCTAAATAACGATTGCTGCCAGAATCCATGTCTAAGACTGAAGTGTCTATTGACAGTCAACACTAGAATTGGAGATTCGTTTTAGACCAAAAGAAAATCGTTCTTTTAGGGATATTCCTTTTGCCTAGCCAAGGTCCTAGTGCGAGACTAGCTCACCAATACACAGATGTTTTTTTGCTGTTTGAAGGAAATAAATCCTATTTTCATTTTGTTTTGTGTTTGATCCAGTGTATACTTGCAAGTGTGCATGCTCTGTGCAGTGTTTCTTAACTTCAAACACAAACTGTCAGCAGTATATGCACCAAACGCCAACACAAACACCTTTTGTGCTGAATAAAGTTGTGTTCCTTAACACAATACACAATCATTCATAAACCTTACCTAATTTATTAAGGAAAAGGGTAGGAAATAAAAACCCACCATCATCACTGTCAGGTTCAAAACAGAGAGAATGGGGGAAGGGGAATTGCTAGCCATTCCACCTTCCACTCTGCTAATATTTACCCAGCTGGGAGGAGAGGTCGCTGGCGGCAGCGGGAGCTCCGTCTGTTCTTCCTGCTCCTCACTGCTCCCTCTGTAGTGATGCTGGAATATGATGTCATTTTGGCCTGGGATCACTAAACTGCGTGCATGAGGGAGCAGTGAGGAGCAGGAAGGGAGACCTCCCAAGAGAAGATCCCCACTGGACCCCAGGGAAAGGCCTCACACCAGCTTCCAGGGAGCCATAAATAAAATGATGTGTGAGTGTTTGCAAGAATGTGTAAATGTGTGTTGTCTGCCAGTGTGTGTTGTCTGTCTGTCTCTCTGTGAGTGAGTGTGTGTGTCGGTCAGTGTGTGTGTTGGTCAGTGTTGCGATGGCCATGGCTGGACAGTGGAGGAGCTGGAGGTGCACGGAGGCATGCAGCGCTACGTCACAGTCAGACATGCTCCACCTTCACAGGGTTTCAAGGAGTAGAGGGAGGATCCGCTTTCGCACAGTGTTCAGGCACCATTGGGGGTATACCAGAGGCTGGACTCCGGAGCCGCATACTGGCAGCGGCAATGTGAGTGGAGTCTGCTTGTTGGCTAATATTGCTTTGTTTTTTTATTACAGTTTTTGCAATAATAATGTATGCATAATTAGTGCAGGTTAAGAAAAGTAATTAAAAATAAATTCATTTAGTTGTTCTGATTTACAGAATATATAATGTGTCTGAGATTTTAAGTTTTTTTTGGTAGTTACAGGTCACAAAGCACAAGGAGTAAACTAAACCTTTAATGCGGAGCGATTTTAGAATTTGGTATGTTTGTCTTGTAAGCTTAATAGCCATAAAAGAAAACAAAATTGCCACACAAAAGTATATATTTATATAAAGTAGACATCACAGGCTATTTACCTAGGGTTGTTTTGACACTTTCTACGTAGCCATTTCACCACCAACCTCTGCTAAATTGGCACACAAACTTATAACAAAGAAATTCTCATGTATATTTTGTAAAGTTGGTGTGTGCTATTCCTGTACAAAGTTTTATTTTGTGTTCAGTTACATCTGTTGAGTAAAATGACACCCCCATTGTATGTCTTTGGCACTATTTTGTGAAGTTACAGTGCCATATAGGATACCTGTCCTTTTCAGTATTCACAGTAGAATTTTGAGAGATGGATTTAATGAGCCTTAGCTTCCATTTGGGGTATTATAACAGTTTGACTGTTAAAAAAAAAAAAAAAAAAAACAACCCACAAAGGCCTACCATTTGTAAAAGTAGACGCTCCAGGGTATCTCATAAGGTGCATATTGTGCCTTAACATACCCCCATTTTTTCACCAATATATGCCAAAGTATGTGGTAAAAAATAATTTTGTGCATTTTTTACATACGGATTGCATTTTTGCTGGGCGTTTTGTATATTTCATATGTGCCACTAAGTTCAAACCCCCCAAATTATGCTCAGCTAAGTCTTCTGAGTAAAAGGACACCCCCATTGTATGTCTTTGGCACTATTTCATGAAGCTACAGTGCCATATAGGAGACCAAGCCATATCCGTTTTTACCGAACTTTGAATTTTGATGCTGGGCAATTTCCAAGCATCTTCGCAGGTTTTAAATTCAAACTACCCCACAAAGGCCTACTATTTCTTAAAGTAGACATCCCAGGGTATTTCAAAAGGTATATTTTGAACCTTAGCGTGGGATCATTTTTCCGCTAGCTTGTACCAGATGTAGTGGTATTAAGCATTTTTTTCTGCCTTTTTGACATACAAAGTGAGTTTGCACAGTATATTTTGCAAAACTTATGTGTGCTACGACTGTATAATACATCATATGTTGCTCAGCTATGTCGGCTGAGTGCAGCAATACCCCTGTATGTACCTTTGCCATGTATATGTGGATGTTGAAGGGGCGCATTTGAGACGCAGCCATTCAGTTTTTTTCTAACTTTGAAGTTTTACGCTGTGTCCATGTTCCATTTTGGAGTAGTTTAGACGGTTGGTTATTGAAACTTCCCCACAAACACATACTATTTATTAAAGAATACACCCTGGGGTAATTCAAAAGGCATATTTTGAACCTTCGCATGGGATAATTTTTTCTCTAGTTTGTTCCAGGTGTAGTGGTAATGAGAGTTTTTAAGATGTATTTTTTTTTAACTTTTTAACTTTTAAAAACTAGTTTTTAAACTTTTGTTTTGCTTATTAATTTTTTTTAAACTTTCCTAAACTTTCTTAAAACTTTTTTTTACAGATTTAAAATTTTTCTAAGCTTTTTTTTTTTTACCGTTAACCCCTAACTAGCAGTAAGCAGCACTAACAGTAAATTCCCCACCCACCCCAGCTAGCAAAATATATAGTTATAAAATATTTAAATTAATTAGTTAAATAAATAAATTGAACCCCTGATGGTTACAAAAGAAATAAAAGTTAATCCTCCGGGGTTAAAAAAAATTAGTATAATACTGTGATCTCTATTTGATCACTGTAGGCAGTGATCGACTGGCAGGGAAGGGGTTAATTTTTATTTGGACTGGGTATTGGGGGGTGTTTTTTTATTTTTTTACTTAAACGTTATTCAAACTTTTTTTTAAGCTTAATTTTTAACTTTTTAAAGTTTATTTTAAAAAAAACTTTTAATGTTAACCCCTAGTTAGCCTAACGCCAAATCCCCCAATTCCCCACTAACTTCCACCCACCCCAGCTAGCTAAATATATAATTTTAAAATATTTTAATTAATTCATTAAATAAATTTAACCCCTGAGGGTTAAAAAAAAAAAAAAAAAAAATCAGATCATAGTAAAATGTAATCCCTGCCAATTGATCACTGTAGTCAGTGATCAATTGGCAGGGAAGTGGCTAATTTTTTATTACAATGGGTAAAGGGGGGGGTGGGACTTTAAACTAACTTTATTTTTTTCCAGCAGGGGGCAGGATCAGCACTGTTCCAGCTTCCTGCACTTCACACAGAACCAGGAAGTGCAGGGAGGCACTTGTGGTCAGAGCGAGCACATGTGCTGGGCAGCCTGACCGGGTGCTCCCGGTATGCCTCTAATACAGAGGCATACCGGAGCACCATTAACCCCGCGGGTTAATTTTACCGCGTGACGGGCGAGGTCCGTCACTCGTCATTAAGGGTCTCCGCTCTGTGACGGACCTCGTCCGTCACTCGTCCTGAAGGAGTTAAACACTGTTGTTTGTATTGTATCCTGACGAAAGTTCCTTAGAGAACTGAAACGTTGATCTTCTGTGGCAGATGCCTGAATAAAAGCTAGTCCTTAGAGTGCCATCATTATTTTATTTCTATTATTTGTCTGTTAAGCATCGGGCTTTTTACACATATATATATATATATATATATATATATATATATATATATATATATATATATATACACACATACATACATATACATACACACATACATACTCTCTCTCTCCCCCCACCCCCACCTCATATAATATACACGTACACACACAAAAGTACTTAAAGAAACATCAGTGAAGGGTTTTCTTACTCCTTGAATAGGAACTCAAGCAAAATAATTTATGGGAATAGGATAGTTAAAGGATCACTATAGGGTCAGGAACACAAACATGTATTCCTGACCCTATAGTGTTAACACCACCATCTAGCCCACCCTGGGTCCCTCATGCCTCCATAAATATAGTAAAAATCTAACTGTATTAAAGCCTGAAGCTGTAAATCTGCATGCTGTTAGACTCAGAAAAACAAGCAGTCTGCTGACATGTGGTAGCCTGATCCAATCACAGTGCTTCCCGATTGGATTGTCTGAGACTGACAAAGAGGCAGATCAGGGGCAGAGCCAGCATGATTCAAACACAGCCCTGGCCAATCAGCATCTCCTCATAGAGATGAATTGAATCAATGAAGCTCTATGAGGTAAGTTCAGTGTCTGCAGGCAGAGGGAGGAGATACTGAATCACAGGATGCTGTGCACAGTGCTGCCCTGTGCTCAGCTGACAGCAGATCTGAGTTGATGGAGGCATATTATGCCTCCATCAACTTAGAAGTCCCTCTGGTTCACTCTGAGTGACTGCAACTGGAGGTGTTCCTAGCTTTCAATGTAAACACTATTTTCTCAGAAAATACAGTGTTTACACGAGAAAGGCTGCAGGGAGCTATAGTTTTCACCTGAACAACCTCATTAAGCTGAAGTTGTTCAGGTGACTATAGTGTCCCTTTAATTTGGACAAAATGTGTCAAATGTGTTCTTAATTGAGCATTATTACCTAGCTAATTATGTGCTACAGCTGTCTGCGTGCTTGTATTAAGTCACAACAGAGTTAAACACTAGCAAAATGCTTGATTGATTTTAATAATAATTTATGGAAAACTTTACATCTTCAGTCAATAATAAATTTTTTTTCCATAAAATGCTGGTGAGTAATTCTTAAAGAAGTGGATTGTTATTAATTATCGCCCATGTAAGCAAGTTCATTCTAACAGAATATTGACACCTGTACAACTGTACAAAACTTTCACAATCTGATGTAAACCATTGTTAGAAAAATGTTTTGTTTTTTCTCCAGAAAAAACACACACACAAATGCCTGAAGTATTTTGAGTGGGGGTAGGGGGGGGGAAATAAAAATCAATGCTCTGTAGCAGGACTGCCACCATAAACTTGTTGTTTATTTGCAATTTTCTAATGTCATGTTTGTTGGCTGTAGTCCTAATTCTTTCAAAGATCTACTTACTTCCTATCTTGGGTCCTCAATACCTATATATTATTTCTGCAACCAAGTAAGCCGGTTTGGGAGTGCCTGCACCACCATAACAGGTGACACAGCATGTGGTGAACGCAACCTCGCCGGAGGAGCCTGCTGGCTAGCCTCCTGCTGAAAGACTATGGGCCCTGTAAAAGCCATGTGAAAAGACTTGGTTCGCGGGATTTTCCTATTGGTTCGGGAACTGAACCCACTCCCGACCTAAGGACCACCTGGGAGCTTGTTAATCCCTATTAGCACCTTGTAATGATTCTGCCCGCAGTGTACCAAGTGTTCATCTGGGTGGCGACCATCTTGTTCCCGCGAACACAGGCAGCGGTGTTTGTTCGTCTAATGCATGGAACTAAAATCGGACCCTTGACCTCGCGAACAATGCTGAACTTCCATCCAACCTGCTTTCGGTACTTTATATCTGGGAAGAGCGCTGTTCAGTGAAATCGTTCGTCTGAATCAGGGGAAAAGGCTCCACGTTATACTTATGGATTATGTTCGGTATTTTGGTTGCATGGAACTCCCGAATGGGACCGGCCGCAACCCCTGAATTCATGGAACGGTTTTGGGCATAGGACCATGTTTGAGGTCGGTCAGAACTTTACCCGGGTGGTGATTTGGTTTTGTTCGTGGGATCTGAGCGCATTTCGGGTATATGTTGGGCGCTCAGATCCACTCTATCCGGGGATGTATAAACTCTGAGTGTTCCTATGTTGGAAATATGTATTTTTAAGTGTTTTTAATATTTAGTCATTTATGATGAGTCACAGTGACACTGTATTTTGTGGCACATTATGGGTGTGTTTATGGGTGTGTTTGGGGGCATATCACTGTGCTCAGATTGTGTATATAAGGGAGTCATTTGGCTGGTATAAACAGTTCACCCCCAGCATTCAGTCTCGAATAAGGTCTGTGGGGAAAAGCTATACTTCCTGTAATCACTTGCTATAACGCTATACTCTTGGAGGAGAGGTGTTCCCACAAGGAGCTGGATCCAGGTGTTGGTCCAGGGTGGGAAGCGCCAAGCTGCGGCGGCTAAGGGGACTGCAGTGGTTATGGTACTCTGCGACAACTAGGAAGCGAAATTGGCGGAGGTACCCAGTCGGGGTGCCAGGTGGTCTGCCACAGAGCAGATGACCCTGAAAATATCTAAGTAGAGCCGGCACATACTTTTTCTTGTTGTTAGACTTAGCCACACCTCC